TTTTTTTAGGTCCGGTTGACACGTCTTGGTAGGGTCTACGCTTCCTGCTTACGGCATTCTTGGGCTAGAATCTACAGGCTTTGGGCTGGTGTTTTCGAGGTTCGAAATCTAGGATTATCGAAAGAAGTTGGGCTAGTTCTTCCAAGGGACCTTCGGTGCCCTGAGCCAGGCCAATGCACTTAGCAGTCTTATGCACTTGTCCGACAATCCGAACCAGTCATGGCTCCCACTTTGATCCATGTCTACACTACTATGTTCGATGTAATATGTACACTCTCGGACAAGCCACTGAGGCTATGGAGGCAACAACAGCTCCTTCAAACAGAAGCATCAAGCTCACCTTGATTGCAATTGCAGTAAACAGGAATTGGCACACCGGCGAGACGACCAAACTTGGCGTACACCGCCAGGCCCGGCGAGAGCCTGCGCATGAGCAGCAGTACCTGCCCAGCATGGTTTTCAACCAAGATTTAAGTGCTGTGACGAGATATATATAAAGAGTGCACAGCATCACAGTTTTTCCATTCCCCTCTGGCGACACAATCTCTAATCTCGGAAGTAGCGAAAAGCAGATCGATCACAGGTGGCACTTGCAGGCCAAACTGTTGGCACACTGGAGGCCAGACCGCAGGGTCATCAGATTATGTGCCCCACAAAGAACCTACTAAGTTATTCACTATTCGAGAACGTAGCCCGCGGCAACTGCCCTCCTCCCAACAGAACCCTGCAGCACAGCAGACAGACCCCGGGTTCTCATCACTGGGCTGCACAAAACAGCAGATCGATGCTCAGGCTGGAGTTGCATGCTTCAGCCAGCCTCAGTTCCAGGGTTTGGGGGATTCTCAGAGAAGACAGCAACAGACAAACGCAGCAGCAAATCACCCAAACTAGTTTATGCAAGAAACCTTGCACAGGTTCCAAGGCCAGGAAAGTTTTGGCGCACTTCTCGCAGATCTTGCGGACATCGTGCACCACATTGGTGCCCTTCTTGTCCTCGATTTCGTCCTTCAAAGTGTCGAAGCAGTGTCTCCAATACGCGTCCTGCGAGGAGGCATGGCCCAACCTCACTAATCGCTACCGTCCCCGTCTGAAGCTCGGTCCTCGTGAGTAGAAGGACTCTTCAGGAGGTTCTTAACATGAAGCTCGTAGGAATCTCTGATGGCCACAAACCGCTGCTTGGCGTACGCTTCCATCTTCGGGCAGGGGCGACAGGCGAATGTCTGCTTCGGCTCTCCTGCCGGTCGCCGCTGCCGCTTTGGCTTGGGACCCGCCTCCCCATCAGGAGTTGCCTCCTTCACAGCATCCTTCACCTTGCCATTCTCCGGAATCTCTGCCTCCGCAGCGTTCTTGGCATCTGGCTCCGCTTTCGGCTTATCCTCTGCCGACGCAGAGGGCTTGGATCCCCCTGCCTCAAGGGCCTTCGGTGACTGGCCACCTTCGGTCTCTTCAGGCTTTGCTTTGATCGCAACCTTAGCTTTGGCCTTTGCCTTGGTTTTGGCCTTTGCCTTGGTTTTGGCCTTTGCCTTGGCTTTGGCCTTTGCCTTGGCTTTGGCCTTTGCCTTGGGTTTGGCCGCGGTCGAAGCCGCCTCATCCTCCGCCTCCTCGAGGTCGTGAGCCTTGACGAGCTTCAAAGCTTGCTTTTCCTGGAACTGGCGTTTGCGAGTGATATCGGGATCCGCGCAATGGAACAAGTCGTCAGGCTCAGGCTCCGCGGCTTCGGTCGATGGTTTCGACTGCGACTCCGAAAGTTTGCTCATCGCAGCTTCGGTCGATGGCTTCGACTGTGACTCCGAAGGTTTGCTCATCGCAGCTTCGGTCGATGGTTTCGACTCTGGCGGCGGCTGCTCAGCAGAAACCGCTTCGAACTGCTTCGCAAGACTGCGTGCAACGGGCGACAAGTTCTCCACCTGTGTCTCTTGCTCATGAATCACCGTGGGATTCGAGGTCAAAGGCCTTGGGCACTTCAAAGTTCTCCGCCGTTTGGAGATCTCGCACCTTCGGCCAGTCAGCAATTTAAGATAATTCATTTTTCCAAAACGACACCACTTTCACAAACACCGAATCCGGCTAAGAGGCTTGAGCTCCTCGATGCGCTTCAAACGAACATCATGTGCCCCAAAGACCGGTGTCTTCTCAACAACACGAGGAGGCGTAGGGTCAGCGACTAGATCAATGATCTCCGAGTCTGGCTTGCCCTTCGGCCCGTTGGCGTTTGGCTTGCTGTGCTCGGACTTGACCAACGTGTTTGGCTTGCCGTCCTCCGCCTTGACCAACACGTTTGGCTTGTTGTCGTTCGGCTTGACCAATGTGCTTGGCTTGCTGTCCTCTGACTTGACCAGTGTGCTTGGTTCGCTGTCCATGGAAGCCCCTGGGCTACCGTCCACCAAAGCCTTTGGCTTCAACTCTTCCTTCACCGAAACAAGCTGCTGCTGCGGTGAACTTTGCAAAGCCATCTTAGCAAACTCGTCCGTAAGACCACTGCTCAAGGCGGGTGGCTGAGGCTCAGGGTCATCGGCTGGGCCTCCACCCAACAACCTCAGCAAGACGTCATCGCTTAACTCAGCGTCCTGGGCCAACAATTCGTCCACTGGGACAAACTGCCGACTGTAGCCGTCGTCCTCAATCTCCGATAGTTCTTCGTCCTCCTCCTTGCATTCCTCCTCCTCTCCTTCCTCCAAATGCTCGGCCTGGGCAAGACCTGAAACCACGTCCGGCTGAACTTCGAAGTAGTGGTTCATCACCTCGAAGAGCTTCCGGATCACGGGATCCTAAGTTCAAACAATACAGAAAGGCTCTCAGGATTTTACTTGTAGCAATACCCCACACGATCTAGGCTGCTGCAGAGAAACCCTCCGGCGGCTGCCATTGTGGCGTTTTATCATGTAAGTGACAAAACATCTGAGGGAGGATGCGTCACAAGCAACAGCAACTGGATCTGCCGGCATCGCCACGTTTTCTCGCATCTTCGCAATCTACAGGGCCGAGAAACCCAACCCGTGCAATGACAGTGGTGTTGTTACACTACTACTATTCTTACTCCTAAAAGTTATTTACAATTAAACTGTCACACTCCGACTTCACAAGCCTCTTCGCGCGCTGCGTAAACATTGATCGTCCTCAACTCCGGGGCATCCGGGAGGTACCGGTGGAGCAAGAGCTCAAGCACTCTCGCATTGGGCCTCATGGTTTCAAAGTTGATGACACCCACCTTCTTCGGTTCAGTCCATTTCAAGATATGCCCTGTTGTCAACAAGAGCTTTCTTGTTGCCTTATCGTCCTCCCACTTCGCCGCCAGGCCGTCTAGGGCCGAAAGATCGGGCTTTTTTTTGGCATCCTTCTTGGGCATGACTGAGGAAACTACTGCACTCTGCAGAAAAATGTCGCCTAATTGGCACTTGAACCTTCCTTGCACAGATTCACGACACCAGCTACAAGCACACAGCAGAACAAAGAAAACCTCATCAGCTCTGCAAACAAACACTGGGTGTCTGTGGGGCACTGCCGCAAAGGCAAATCGCCAGGAGAAGCACACCATCAATCAGCCGACATGGCAAACCTGCGCGGGGGATTGTGCACACTATGCATGTTCTATTCTATGCATAGCCTAGGAATCAGCGGCTACAGAGCAAGACCCTATTTGTGCAGCAGTTGCCTTCCTGACTTCCCGTGGTTCTCCCCCCACTTAGCTAGGAAATCCCCGGCTGCTCATCCCCTGCGGTCTCGCATCGCAGGTGGTGCCCATGGATCATCCGGAAGCACGACCTGAGAGATCGCTGCAATGATTTTGAGATCTGTAGAAGTATGTTTGTAGAATCTCAGGCATGAACGGCTCTTGCTTAGAATGGCAGCAAAGTAGTGCACCACACCCTTCATCCTGTAGTTCTGCAAGATCACCCAAGCACGGTCCTCGGAGATCGGCACCTGAACGACAAAACCCGAGCCCAATAAGTCCCACAAAGCTATCATGGATGAACAGAGCTGCATTTCACCCCGAGGACCTCGGGACTTGACCCATAAAGAGTCTCCTGACAGCGAAGCCAAAACGCCAATGGCAGGTCGAAGAGTCCTGTAGGGCGAGGTTTGTTTTGTGATCCGTTTTGAGAACTTTGACTTTATGATTGGCTAAGTAATGCACCTTCTTTCTGGAGCTCACATGTAATCACCATACTGAGGTGAGTCGCAGCCATGGCTTGACGGAGGGCTTGAGGTTTTGAAAAGCCTTGCTTCGCATAACTTAAGTCAAACAGCTGATGCATTCGCAACCCATGGTTGAGCACCGAACAATCTCAGCAACAACGCAAAGCTGAGCAGGCAGTGCAAAGGAGATGGGTGCGGCCAGCCTTGAAGCGGACAGAAGGGCTCAATGGGCCACACCAGCTCTGAGCCACATCATCTCTCAATGAATGACGATATTGCATTTCAGCTTCAACGATCTTGCCTCATAAACACCGTCATAAAACCGATCGAACCGCTCAAGACTTAAGAAGAGGATTTCCGACCGCAGTCTATTTTACTCGGACACTTCCTATTCGGTTGCCCGAATCCTGTTCGGTTGGAAATAACAGACCGAAGGAGGAAGCAGGTATATATATATGGGAACTGTTTTGTGTGGATTCGATGATATAGATAGGTAGTTGGGCTGGGGAGGGGAACTGGTGCAGTAGAGTTCAAAAAACAAGCCCAGGTAGCTTCGTCACCGACTGCTACTGACAATCACCTTCTGTCGCTCTCCGACGAGTTTGAGTCTTGCGAGACTGTTTCAAGGAAAGAAGCTGTTATTCGAAAGTGTTCGCAGCTATCTGTAGTCTGCCTAAAACCGACCTCAGCTTCTCCTACTGCCGGTACTGTATTGAAGCACTGCTTAAGGAAGCTCGAGTTGTTTAGGTCTAGTCTAGGTGGATGTGTTTGTGTTTTCAAAATAGGATACAGCAGTAACCCCATCAGGAGGTTCACGAGCTACCAGCAGGCTAATTTTACGAATATGAGTGTTTTGCATTGTACAGAAAACAAGGGCAGCGCTGAAATGTTAGAGGCGGCCCTCATCGAGATACATTCGAGAATCCTTGGCTGCCGAAATGAAAAGCCAGGTGGTGAAGGGCCTGGTCAATTGAACTCGAATGCTTCGCACTTTTACGTTTATGTTGTGGGAGCCAGGGCTGACCTCTTCAAGCCAATAGGTGGCTGATGTCAGCTACAAAATTCGTTTGGACACATGCAGTGGCCTTCCACTGCAACTGCATGTTTATACGGATTTCAGAAAAGACTGCTGGTGCTGCAAAGGAGGGTTAACCACAGCTGAAGCTCGCATGCTCTGTTCTTGCTTTTGTAGGATAGCATGTACGATTGCTTTTTATTTCTTTCGCCGAGGTGCCCTGCAAAGATGTGATTCTTCATGCCCGGGCATCTTCATCAACAGATGTCAACGTGAAACGACTGGGCGAGGTTCCGCTTACGCATTCTGAAAGTGGAGTGCACAAAGTTCTGGAGGCAAGTGGTTGTTCCCTGGAAGTTCCTCTTTCATATGTGGACATTCCAACACAGAAGAAGATGCCTTACATAACTATGACATCTTGGGTTCAGTTTCTGAGTAAGTCTGACCGATTGCACTACTTGACTGGTGTGGCTGACGGCATGGAGCGGCGAAAGCTTTGTCGCGAATTTTGGACACGAGTTCAACAGATAAGGCCGGGGCATCCTGTGTTTGCAGATGCCAGCGCAGGAACCATACGTTTGGAGGACACAGTCCCCCTTCTCCACCATGGGGACGAAGGGCGATCCTACAGGAAAACGCCGATAATGATACTTTCGACGCACGGCCTCCTAGGATCGGGTTCGCACAAGACTGAGCGTCCGAAAGGCAAGACCAGCTTGGAACACGATGGTATGGACCTGAACTTTATTGGCGCGACGATGACAACTCATTACATCTTTACGGCAATGCCGCATGCTTTGTACAAGAAGGAGCCCGCTGCCCTTGACGTGATGCTTTCATTGTATGCCCAGGACCTCAGAAGGCTCGCTGGGGACGGCATAACTTTGATAGAGAATGGCGTGCCACGCAAGCTGTGGTTCGTCTGCTTTGGAGCCAAGGGCGACTTGCCGTACTTAGGCAAAGCCGGAGGGTTTACACGAACCTTCTCGATGTGCGCAAAAAAGAGTTCTTCCAAGGGCTTATGCAAGGGCATCTGTTTTATGTGCGATGCTGGCAGAGAAGGGCTCCCTAGCGGGCCCTGCCCATGGGAGGATTTCAACACCAACGCAACTTGGACCAGAACGATGGGCTTGCAACCTGGTTTCAATACAGAGGGGCCGCTGCTTCAGATCCCACATGATCACAGTGTTCTGTTTTATCGCTTGGATATATGGCATTGCTGGCACCTTGGGATTGGCAAGACCTTCATCGCAAGCGTCTTGGTAGAGCTACTCGACGCCCTGGCCGATGAGGGTTCACTGGAAACGCGGCTGGACGCGATGTTTGCAAACTATGCAGCTCATTGCAAAAAAAAGAAAGTTTATGGATACCTGACGAGCTTTACTCGCGACTTTTTGGGCTTTGACAAGGCCAGCAGCATGCCGGTTGGACACTGGAGCAAGGGGCATGTTACAACCAGACTTTTTGTTTGGCTGGAAGAGTATCTTGATACATCCTTCAAGGATGCTCGCGATCCCATGATCCAGGACATCGTGTCTGGGCTGCTTTCCATATAACAAAGAACTTTAAGGGTTTATGTTAAATTAAAACAATATGAGGCCGTGCTTTTAGTTTTCGGTTAGGGTTTCACACTTTTGGTGTTTATAAGGCCAAATAGGCTAGTGGGTTTAAGACTTTTTCTTTGTCTTTGAACGCCAAATAAGCTATTCGGTTTCAGTTTTTTCTTAAGTGCTATCTGAGTCCAATTATGGTTTCAAGCCTTTTTGTGTTTTGGAAGTCGCTAAGCTAAGTTTCCACGTAGGGCCGTTGCGGGTTTAAGCAGGTTTAGCGGTTTTGTGCTTTCGCTTAAGCGTTCCTTTGTTAGATGAACTGGTGTAGGAATTTAAGCGTTTGTTGTATGAGCAGCGCCACGAAACAAAACATTGGCGCTTCGATCCGTGCTAAACAGCAGGTCCGTGCCACGAAGCTGGGAAACATGTGTATTCGTGGACTCTACCGCTGCGGAGTGTGGATGCCGGCTGCACAAGGTAAAAAAGTGGCAACCTGGGGCTTGCAGTTTCTGCAGGCGTATGGCCAATTGGCGACGTTGGCCTTCAGGCGGGGACAGAGACGGTTTTGTCTCATTCCCAAGCTTCACTTTGTGCACCACATCATGCAAGAGCTTCTTTGCCAATCTGCTTCATCATCTTGGGCACTGAACCCTTTGACTTTTTCTGTTCAAATGCAGGAAGATTTCATTGGGCGCCCGAGTAGGATCAGCAGAAGGGTGTCGCCAAAGGCGCAAGCTCTTCGCACTCAGCAGCGGGTGCTGCTGTGCATGTTCGGAGAATTCATGAGGGTGGAAGGAGGGAAAAAAGATGACACGCACAATCGCTGCGACTTCACAGGGCCATTCAGGATGTTCATACAATTAAGGCAGCTTTGCGATTTCACAGGGCCATTCAGGCTGGTCATTAAGGCAGCTCTGCATTCAGTTGTCCCGTGTGCACCCTGGTCATCCCGAACGCATCGTATTCAACTTCATACCGGGGCTTCTGTGCAGTGTTTGAAGTTGTTCAAGAAAGCAAGAAACAAAGAACCTGGTTCTCACGAAAAGACCCACAATTAGAGGGTCAAAAGGCCCGACCCCCTAAACGAGCGGCAAACGGAGTCACAGGTAGGGTTTAGGGTTTAGGGTTTGGTGTAGGGTTTAGGGCCCTTCAAGGAACCCTTAAAGGACCAAGGAACACTTAAAGAAACCCTTACGGGACCCCTTAAAGGACCCCCTACAGAGCATTAAGACAAGAGCTTGGGGACTCCAAAAATGCAGCCCTGCACCCCCTAACCCCAGTTTAACTGCCCGCGGGCATCTCTCGTCCACAAGAACAACCCTAAACCCTAAAACTAAACCCTAAACCAAAACCCTAAACCTAAACCCTTCAGGGGCTCCTTTCAGGTATTACTTGTAAGGGGTTTCTTTAAGGGTTCCCGTAAGGGTTTGTTTCTGTGCCAGGATCAAGGCTTTGGTTCAGGGCTCTGGGATGCCAGGACTAAGGCGGTCAAGGGGTTTCTGCTGTTTTTGAATGGTTTTTGCTTTAGGGTTTGAAAGTTTAGGTGGAGGTTGTCACATACCTTTGCGCATTTTTTTGTTTTTGGCTCCGGGTTTGGGGTTTATGGTTTGGGGTTGGGTTCAGGGTCGCGTCACCTGCCCTCATAAGCGTCGCTTCATTCCTACTTTAATGCCAGAATCATTACCAATAGTCTTCTTTACGGTTCCTTATGCTAAAGAGAGTATGATATACCCAAAAAGCCCTCTACTTAGAGTATAATATACACCAAAAACCCTCTAATTAGAGCATAACATACCCAAAACACCCTCTAATTAGAGTCTAACATACCCAAAAAACTCTAGTTCGATTATAACATACCCAAAACACCCTCTAATTAGAGCCTTAAGATACCAAAAAACAACTCTAATGAATAAGGCCCCTATGTTGCACCAGTATTTGGGGGTGCTCTTGAAACTAAACCCAAACCCTAAACCCTAAACCCTAAACCCTACACCCCAAACCCTAAACCCTAAACCCTAAACCCTAAACCCTGAAACCCTAAACCCTATCGAGGTGGGGTCCTCCACATGGACCAAAATTGGGTTTGGGGTTTGGGGTTTAGGGGTTTTTGGGTTTAGGGGTTTAGGGTTTAGGGGTTTAGGGTTTAGGGTTTGGGGTTTGGGGTTTAGGGTTTCGCAGGACCCGGCATACAGCTACTTAGTAGAGAAGTTGGCAAAGTTGTATATCTACACCTCAGCCCCTTAACCCCGAAATCCGCTCCGTTTAGGGTTTAGGGGTTTAGGGTTTAGGGTTTAGGGTTTAGGGGTCTAGGGGTTTAGGGCTTTGGGTTTAGGGTTTAGGGGTTTAGGGGTTTAGGGGTTTAGGGGTTCAGGGGTTTAGGGATTTAGGGGGTTTAGGGCAGGCTGGATACTTGCCAGAGCTCG